TCGTATATAGTAAATCCTATATGATTTATGTTTTTTTCCACTGTTGTGCAAGACATCTGATATAGTGTGATAAATTATACTATTTTCAATATTCTTTCAACATTAACACATTCCATCTTCATGTGTATATAATAATGTTAAATGTTTTTTATAACTAAATTTATCTTTTCCCAAAATTAACAGTAAGCATATTAGAATAATCATATTCGTAAATATATAAATAAATTATAACAAAATCTAATTCTGCTAAACCATTAAACCTAAACCATGAACATATGACGAACAAATCGTACTTTCTAATTTCTATAATTACATAAACCCATGATGCATGTACAAACTTAAATTCTGATATTCGCGTTATGAGTGTGTGTGTATGGATGAGTGTAATGTGTTTAGCATTAAAATATTTTATAAGAATAATTGAATAAAAAATGATTCAAAATTAATTTTTAATATGGACATTTTATTACAGGCAATGTACTTTCCACATTATTATGTAATAAAATTCCACGATATATAATAGAAAATTATACATCATAATTATTAGGCCATTATTAAAATTGATAATTCTTATATGCATTATGTTATTATTCAATATGAAATATTACTTATAATATATTTCTTCATAGCGTAAACAATAACTATGTTCTTCAAGATACGCATATTCTTTCAAACAAGCATCTATTGTATTAATATTATTATTCAAAATTTTTAGGCCTTAGTTAATTACAGAATTAAAATAATTGTTTTTAAACTATATCATATTAAATTTATAAAGTAATACTTATTCATTTTTATTGCTTTATGTTAATCAGTTTTTTTATTATTTATTATTATCAGAATCATACTTCTCACAATTTTTTTATAATATTTTTTGTGCCTTAAATAAATTTATTCCTCTATATATATATTAAAATGTATAATTATGGATAATTGTATGATATATTATACCTACTATCTCTTAACAAACTATTAGATATTTCAGGATCTTGGTATATATTTCTTTCTTCACCTATGTTATCCCAAAGTTTTCTTTTCCATGCTATAGCACGTCGTATCAATAAACCACATTCTGAGAACTAATTCATAAGGAAAATATGCATGAATTATATTATTCTTTTTGTAATCATATTTTTCTTTTAACCTATTAAAAAAAATTAGTTTATAACCAAAATACATACAACTAATATATTAAATAACCTTAAGCAGAACAAATATAAAAATACATATTAATAGTGTTCCTAAAATTGTTATCATAATAGGAGCTGTAATGTTTCTTTGGTAAGGGGTTGATGTTGGTGTTTTACTAATTTTATCATACAGAGTTTCCAATTGATTATTGTGTTTTTTCATCATATCTACCACATCTTTAAAAATATCATCATTACTAGATAAGTGTTTAATTATTTTATTGTACATATCATATATATCTCTGATTTTTGGAAAATCAATTTTTTTAATCGGATCCTCAAGACATTTGTATATGTTTATCTGACTACCATGAATTATTTTTAAACGGTTAGTAAATAATGAAAGTAATTCATTATAAACTTCATCGACACGGACAGTTAAAAATGTGTTATATTTATGATGTAGTAGTTCATATAACCAATAATAAAGATATTCACAACCGGATTCTTTTAAACCTATATCAGTAGGCTTAGCCGAATTTACAGAACCTAAATACTCCATTACTTGGTTACATATATCTTTTGGTTCGCGTTCATGAACTTTTAAATGACTTAATTTACTGTTATTAGCATTAAGAATACATAACATTTCCCAGATACCTGGATGTGAAGAAGGAGTAATTTGTTTCGGGCTTTCGTCTAACTTCGTTCTACATTCTGGAAAATGATGTACAATTTCATACTAGGGACAAAAAAATATACAAACAATAACAATTAAATGAGTAAATTATATTGATCCCATTTTAAAATAATCCATAGATAATATAACATAAATTATTATAATGTTGCAAATTATAATATGATAATTAGAACGTACAATAGATTTCCCCATTTTATATAGTATTATACTCTTCACGAATTTAATTATATTAAAAAATAAAATTTAATAACAAAGATATATGTGTTTATAAAAATAATGTTATACCATGAAAAGAAAGTAGAATTTTTTATATATATAAAAGTATATAGGCTATATTAAAATACCATTGAATTA